CGGAGAGGAAGGCTTGATGGCATTTTTTTAGTTTGTTCGTTGTCTTCGCTCACTGGAACGTCAGCTCCGTGTGGGCAGAACTGCTGCTTTACACACTACTGCATATGTCCCCAGCACCTAACACAGTGCCTGGCACAGAGTGGGCCCTCTGAATAGTTGTCAAATAAATGAATGAATTGGTTGCAGGCCTACCTTTTTGCTTTCTTGTAGGAATGGCAGGTTTCAGGGAATGAAAAGAGTATCAGTTACCTAGCTGAGTCCTTTACATAAGACCTCTCAGTGTTGGGGGCTGACCTATGCCAATTTGGTCATTCAACGGTCAGTGGTTATTCTGGTAAGAATTAGTCTCCTCTGGCCTCCGAGGCAGATAAAAGCCATCAATTCCCTCTCCTCCTATCTCCTCCAACACACTACTCAGTAAGACAGTATGTTTCAATGAAAGTATATCCTAGACCAGCCTCTTGGTAAATTATAAACACTGATTGGCCACCAGGCACAAAAACAGCCACACGGCCTGTTCAGACGAGTGCAGAGAACCCCACTCCTTGTCCTCAGGCCTTCTGACTGCACCTTGTGTGGGAAGCTCACTTGTAGTCTTTCTGTAGGATTCTGACCAATGGATTAACCAGCCTTCCAAATGCATCTCAGGGCAGAGCCCTCTGTGAACAGAGAGGCAAACACGGGACCAAGCAGAGCTCAGGATGGAGATGCAGCTCGGAAAACACCAGGGCTCTTCCTCTTCCTTCAGGCAAGGACAGCGGGTCCTGCGAAACTTTCTAGCCAAACCCATATCCTAACACTCGGTAGAGCCAATGGAAGCAAGAAAAGCTGTGGTACAACCTTATACCAGTTTCTGAGCCTTCTGGTGTGTAGATTCTTAATGATACTTGAAATGCTTAAACAACCACTTCTGAGGTGTGGGCTCTGGATTAGTTTCTTTAAAACGCTAAATAACCACCCCCCTCCCCATTCCCTCGCTCCCCCCTATGCACCCACATTTACACATACACATGGGTTTATTCTGCAGCGCTGTACTACATAAACCATTCAATTCCCCAAACCTTTCTGGAGGGAAAGTAAGAAGAACATAAAGTGCTTATTACATGCTCAGCCATGTTCAAGGC